TTTTATCTCCCAACCCATCCATGCAGGTTGACCTCTTCAGCACAGTTTGGATTTCTTTCTTTCTTTCTTTTTTTTTTTTTTTTTAAGATTTTACTTATTTATTTGACAGAGACACAGCGAGAGAGGGAACACAAGCAGGGGGAGTGGGAGAGGGAGAAGCAGGCTTCCCGCGGAGCAGGGAGCCCGATGTGGGACTCGATCCCAGGACCCTGGGATCATGACCTGAGCCGAAGGCAGATGCTTAATGACTGAGCCACCCCAGGCGCCCCTGAATTTTATCTCCCAGCCCATCCATGCAGGTTGACCTCTTCAGCACAGTTTGGATTTCTTTTTTTTTTTTTTTTAAGATTTTATTTATTTGACAGAGAGAGACACAGCGAGAGAGGGAACACAAGCAGGGGGAGTGGGAGAGGGAGAAGCAGGCTTCCCGCTGACCAGGGAGCCTGATGCGGGGCTCGATCCCAGGACCCTGGGATCATGACCCAAGCCGAAGGCAGACGGTTAATGACTGAGCCACCCAGGCGCCCCTATTTTAAATTTATTTTTAAACAGGTTTTCTGAGATATAATAATATACTCTACAAATCGCCAATTTAAAGTATACACTTTGATGGTTTCATGTGGTTGTGCCTCCATTTCCACAGTTCATTTTGAATCATTTTCATCACCCTGAGAAGAAAGGAAGAAATCCCCCTAACCTTAGCCATCACTCCCCAATACTGCCATTCCCCAAGCTCTAGGCAACCACTGATCTGCTTTCTATCTCTGGATTTGCCTATTCTTGACATTTCATATGGTAGAATCATAGCGTATGTGGTCCTTTGTGCCAGGCTTCTTTCACTTAGTGTCATGTTTTCGAGGTCTGTCCACGTCATTCCTTTGTATGGCAGGGTGATATTGTGTACGGCCATACCACATTTATTCATTATCAGTTGATGGATGTTGGGTTGTTTCTACTTTTTTGTTATTATGAATAATGATGCTGTGAACATTTGTGTACAAGTTTTGGTGAGGACATGTGTTTTCATTTCTAGGGGTAGAATTGCTGGGTCACATGATCATATGGTTTTAACCATCTGAGGGGCTGTCAGGCCATTTTCCAATCCTACCAGCAATGCCTGAGGGCTTCAGTTGCTCCAGATACTCATCAGTATTTTTTAATTAACTTTCTGATTGTGGCCATCCTAGTGGGCGTGAAGTGGGATCTAACTGTGGTTTTGATGTGCATTTCCCTGCTGGCTGATAATGTTGAGCATCCTTTCATGTACTTATTGGCCATCTGTATGTCTTCCTTGGGGAAATGTTTATTCAACACTTTTGCCCATTTTGAAATTTGTAAGAGTTTTTTTTGTATATTCCAGATACCAGTCCCTTATCAGATATGTGATTTATAAAATTTTTCTCTCATTCTGTCACTTGCCTTATTACTTTCTTGATAGCATCCTTTGAAGTACAGAAGTTTTAAATTTTGATGATATCCAGTTTTTTTATCTTTAGTTGCTTGTGTTTTTGGTGTCACATCTGAGAAACCATTGTCTAATCCAAGGTCATGAAGATTTATATATATATATATATTTTTTAAGATTTTATTTATTTGAGAGAGAGAGAATGAGAGAGAGCACATGAGAGGGAGGAGGGTCAGAGGGAGAAGCAGACCCCCTGCTGAGCAGGGAGCCCGATGCGGGACTCGATCCCGGGACTCCAGGATCATGACCTGAGCCGAAGGCAGTCGCTTAACCGACTGAGCCACCCAGGCGCCCCAAGGTCATGAAGATTTATCCCTATGTTTTCTTCTAAGACTTTTATAGTTTTAGCTGGACATTTAAGTCTTTGGTCCATTTTGAGTTAATTTTTATATTTGTTGTCAGAGGTTCGACTTTATTTGTTTGCATGGGAATATCCAGTTGTTCCAGCACCATTTGTTAAAAAGATTATTCATTTGTCCTTTCTCCATTCAATTATTTTGACAGCCTTCTTGAAAATCAGTTGAGGAAAATAATATGAGGGCTTATTTCTGGATTCTCAATTCTACCATTGATCTATATTTCTGTCATTATGCTAGTACCTTGTTATTATTTCTATTGATGAAAATAAGACAAAATTATTACAACCTAAAGCAAAAATATCAGACATAACACATCTCAACTCTTTGTATATATGTATTTAAGACTTTAAAAAAAAGATTTTATTGAGAGAGAGAGACAGGATGAGAGAGAACAGAAGCAGGGTGGAGGGGCAGAGGGAGAGGGAGAAGCAGGCTCCCCGCTGAGCAGGGAGCCCAGCGCGGAGCTTGATCCCAGGACCCCAGGATCATGACCTGAGCAAAAGGCAGACGCTTAACTGACTGAGCCACCCAGGCACCCCAAGATTTTTTTTAAGTAATCTCTACACCCAGCCTGGGGCTTGAACTCATGACCCTGAGATTAAGAATCGCATCCTCCTCTGACTGAGCCAGCCAGGCATTCCTCAACTCTTTGTATTTTTATCAGCATCCATAACTGACACCAGATTAATTTCTTAAATTATGTAATTACTATGGTAACTTATAGAAATAATTGTAAATAATTTTAAAGAAAAATAAACCTATAAAATATAAGTACATTTTAACAGAAAATCACACTAGCAATCCTTTGTAGTCTTGGAGTTGCCTCATAAGCATCCCAAACAGATTGACGAATACTGGGGCCATGTGTAGGAATTAATTCATACTTATTTTACTTGGTAGTTTGCTCTTTAGTTATTGATACTCAGTGAAGTACAGGATTGGCGTTTGCTATTCCAATACTGGATACATGGTACGGGATTTGTTGTGCTTTGTTGGATGATGTTTTGCTCTGTAACACTTTCTTTGGTGATACCTTAGTGATGTCCTGTTCTCTGTTGCTTATAACAAACCACCTGAAGCTTCAGGTCTTTAAACAAGCACATTTACTTTGCTTATGAGCCTGCAGTTTGCTCAGGGCCTGGCAGGGGTGATTTGCTGCCCCTCTGCCGTGTATGGGGCCTCAGCTGGGGCCGCTCAAAGCATGGAGCGATGGAACAGTGGGGGGCTCGTGGGGGCCGCTCTCCTCATGTAGTCTCAGGGCTTCTCACTGTGCCCTCTTTCTATGGTCTTTGCATCATGGCAGCCTCAGCATAGTTAGAGTTCTTTCTTAGTGACTCTGGGCTTCTAGAGAAGGTGGCAAGAGACCAAGGTAGAAGCCTTGAAAGTCACACAGTGTTAGTTCTGCTGCATTCTGCTAGTTACACAAGTCACAGAGCAGGGACAATTCAGGGTTTACATGTTGGAGGCATGGTCTGTGGGCAAGTCATCTCTGGAAATTGGCTACTAAAGGATGTAGCTAGATGTAAGTTTTTCTGTGGGATTTCCAGGAGGTGGTCAGCTATAGTTGCTCAAAGAAGGCTTTCCTCTGAAAAACAACCTTAAAATGACTTTCTATGAGTTTATGATGCCAAATGCTTGAAGGTTCAGTTTCCCCGCAAATGTTTCTTTACTAAAATTAGAGTATGTCATATACTAGAAAATATAATTATCAGGTTCAAATTCATTGAACAAAGAAGGCAAGTTCATGTCAGTGAAGGGTCCCATCTTCAGTAAAGTGAAATTATATACCAGATAACACTGCATCAATTTATGAGGTGAAACTTGCTGGAAAGGCAAGCAGAAGTGGGAAAAAAAATATCTGTTAGGTTTAAGAGACTTTTAATATCCCTCTCTTGATTCTTCTCAGTCCAGATAGACAAAAATAAATAGGAATGTCCAGGATTGATTCCATAAAGTTGATCTGGTAGCATAGATAAAATTTTATATTCTGGGGCGCCTGGGTGGCTCAGTTGGTTAAGCAACTGCCTCTGGCTCAGGCCATGATCCTGGAGTCCCGGGATCGAGTCCCACATCAGGCTCCCTGCTCGGCAGGGAGTCTGCTTCTCCCTCTGACCGTCCCCCCTCTCATGTGCTCTCTCTCATTCTCTCTCTCTCAAATAAATAAATAAAATCTTTAAAAAAAAATTTTATATTCTGCCATCAGATTAATCAGAGGCAGAAGAAATAAGTGATAAAATTCATCCTCCATTCTTGATAATTAACAGCAAACTGAAAATAGAAGAAAAGTTCCTTAAACTAGTAAAGGCTATTTATGAGGATCACATGTGAGACGCGTCTACCTGTGAATTACTGGAAGCACACCCCTCGGAGCGGGGAGGCCATGGCTGCTGCCCTGCTTCTCTTCCAGTTGGGCCTGTGCCTTTGAGTTAGGAGCGCTAGTTCCTGTACTCTTAGACCTAGCTAAAGAAGGGTCCCACCAACGCATGCTAAGTACCCTGGGAGCACTGATGTAACCTGATGGGTGTCCAGTGCTGCTGACAGAACCAGTATGAGCTGCGGCCTTGGAATGCCAGACGGAGCCCCGGGAATTACCTGGCTTGATCTCCATGTTGGTTTTGCAGGGCCTCAGGCATGAAGAAACATGATACTTGCCGACCCACAATAGGATGTAAAATTTAGAAAAAGAGCCTTTCTCAGGATGGTGTTCATATTCTTTCTTGATCTCATGATTTCAGTTTGCTATTGTGGTTCAAAGTCATTAGGATTTCACTCCCAGGACTGAAAGTGGATTTTAGTGTCTTTGGTCCCAGATAAAGTAATACGCATCCACCTTCAGTTTGAGCCCTGACTGCCCAGAGCTGTGTAATCCGGTATTCTGGAGCATGCTGTGGTCCGGTTGCAGACGCACTTAGATTCCGTGCTCTGTTCCGCTCCCGAGGCATCTGCTAATCACAGAGGACATTACTCATCACCTTAATAACCGCTGTGGTTGTCAGTTACTCTTTTTGGGCTGTCAGCTCCTGGATGGCGCTGTTTGGTAGCACCTCGTGGGCTAGTCTGTGTTTTCATTAGGTCTGTTCAGGAAAAAATAGCAAAAAATGCTCTGTCTCGGGGCAGCTTTTCCAGACTCTGGAGTAACCGTGATTCTGATGCTCTGTTCTGTCTTTCTGTTGCAGATGTTGCTGCCATAGCGTGTGGTCGCGAGTTCTTGGTTAACTCAAGTCGGGTGCTGCTGGACACCATACTGCAGCTTCTGGGGGACCTGAAGCCAGGACAGTGTACCAAACTCAAAGTGTACGGTGGACGATGTTAAAAAGCTCATGTTTATTTAGTTAATAGTTAGAATTTGCTGATTGGGCTTCTTTTTCAAGTAAACACAGTTAACTTGGCAATAGTTCTAAAAAAAATAGAAGAAACACATTGCCTGGAGAATTAAGGGATGCACTCTTTATTCAGTACTCTTTTAGAAAAATCATAAGAAACGAAAACAATGTTCTCACCTTAGAGCAATCAGTGAGTCCCAGATGCTATTATGTGACACTTCAGTTTATATTAATTACCTCGAAATGAACCTGTATTCATTTGTTACAGCAGTGTCCCACTGCCAGGGACCCAAACCTGTATTGGGTTTCTACTGGGTAACAAGTCTCGTGGTTAAAACAACACGTCCTTCATGCTTCTGTAGGTTAGAAGTCTGAGATGGCTTGCCCGGGTCTCTGACTAGGGTCTCTGGCCAAAACCAAGGTGTTGTCCAGGCTGGGCTCTTTTCCAGGGGCTCTGGGCAAGAGTGCTTCTAGGAATGTTCAGGTTGCTGGCGAATCCAGTTCCTTGCACTTGTAGGACTTAGGCCCCTGTTCCTCGCTGGCTGTCACATGGGGGCTTTTTTAGCTTGCGGGGCTGACCGAATTTCTGATTATATGAGCCACCCATCTTCGAGCTCTGGCAGCTCACTGAATCCTTCTTACACTTGGGAGCTCTCGGACTTCCTCTTCTGCTACCAGCTAGAGAGAATGCTGTGCTTTTGATGGGCTCATGGGTTTAGTTAGGCATCACGGGATAAACTTCCTTTTGATGAACTCAGAGTCACCTGAGGAGTCATGTCAGTTACGTTTGCAGTGACTCTCTGCCATAGAACTGACCACGACCAGGGTGTTACATTGTGTCCAGCCTGGGGACTAGGGCAGGAGATGTTGGGCCATTTTAGGATTCTGCCTATCACACTGTTCATTCTAGGTGGGTGCTTTTCCTCCTTGGAACATTGTTTCTAATAGCTTCTTTAAAGTCTCTGTCATCTTGGTCTGGTGTTTCTTGGTGGTTTTTTCCCATGCGAGTTGGGATTGTTCCCATTTCTTCATGTGCTGAGTAATTTTGGGTTGTATTGTGGACATCTGAATATTGTGAGACCCTGGGTCTTGTTGAAACTGTGGAGAGTGTTGATGTTTTTGTTTGAGCAGGCAGTCAGCCTGGTTGGGTCCAGATCACAAGCTCTGACCAGCCTTTTGGGTATCATGCTTTCAGGGTCACTTCGAGCTTCAGAACTGGCCTCTGGTGCCACCCGTGCCAGCCTGACACCTGGGTCATCGCTGGCAATTTACTCCTCAGGCTGGGATGTGCTGTTTGTGATTGGACTCACATGTGCACAGCCTGGTGTGAGGCCAGGGGTTCTGAAGAGCCTTGTGAGGTCACCTGCCTGATCTCTTTACTGTCTGCCGTGTGCTGGGTACTTGGTAGTTACTGTCCTTCGCCTGGAGTGCTGGGGTTCCACGTGCCCTGCTGTGTCTGACTTCTGCAGCTTCCAGGGCTGGGGAAGATTTCCTTCCCACACAGCCAGGGTGACGTGGGGGCCCCACGCTCTGCAGGGCCCCTTCCTGATGCTGCAGCCTCAGTGGCACTCTGTGCAAGTCAGTGCTGCGCCTGGGCTTGGAGGCTGAGTGGTAAACTTGCTGATGGGTTGCTGGTTCTTGGAATTCTGGACTTCTTCCCAGTCTGCCTGCTTGCTCCTGTTTACTTTTCTGGGGTTTCACGGAGTTGCTCCATATATTCTGTTCAGAATTCATAGCTGTGTTCAGTGGAAGCAGGAGGGTGGGGTGTGACTCCCACCTTATCTGGAAGCAGATTCTCGAGTCTATTCTGATATTTTGTGCTAACAAATATATGTTCATGAGCAATATATAATACAACATAATGTCTAACTCATATGGTTTTGTGTATGTTTTTACATGTGGCTCTATGGATCTAGTTAATTCCTTTTACATATCTTGCATGAGAGAAGGTGTGACATTTGGGTCATTTTATCCTTGACTGACAGGCACTAGGTTATTTTCAGGTTTTACTCCTCACGTGGAGCGGTGTAGTGAGCATCTGTGGCAAATACCTCCTTGTGAGCGCTTCTCTAGGAGCTGTCCCCGAAGTGCAGTATTTGAGAAGGAAGGAAAGCACACTTTCAGGTTGATAAGATGCTGCCAAACGGGTCACCAAAGCCTGCACTTCACCTACACGGCAGCAGTGTTCTGGGTCTCCCACACCTTCCTCAGTGCTTCATTCTTTGTTACTGTCTTATAAAGAATGCTTGTGTTCTCTACATCTGTCTGCCTGTCTCGAGATGGATATTACCAGTGAGGTTGAAACTCTTTGCACAGGTTCAGAACAGGTTTTTTTCCTGTGAATTACCTGTTCATGTCTGTTGCCTGTTTTCTGTTGGGTTGTATTTTTCACGACTTGCTGTTGTTTTTTATGTGTTCTGGGATACTACACCATTGTTTGCATCTGTGGTCTGTACAAGGTCAGTGTTTATGGGGCCAGTTAGCCCCCTGCTCCACTTCTGAGGCAAGGCTTTGTGTGGGGGCTGCATCTCTTCTAGTCTCTGTGGTTCCAGCACATGGAGCTCTGTGCCTTTGCATCTTAGGCAGCCCTTGTCCTGCAGTGGGAGATGGGCAGACTTGCATTCAGAGATGTTTGCTTGTTTTCTTGGCAGTTTTCCATCTGCCAGGGAGCAAAGCCCACATATGGACTGTTCGCCTCAAACCCCACTTGGGATCTCAGCATGCACCGTCCCGAAGCGGCTCTTCTTACTTCATAATCTCTGGCCGCCTTCTGATTTGCATGCCGCTTGGTCATGTTTTTCGTCACTGCTCACTCCCAACCTGGAGTCCTCTGGAACCAGGACCTTTCTTGTACTGCAAGTAAACTTATCTTTTTGGCCTCTCTCTCTGGACTGTAACTTGCCTCTTTCCTGGGGATTTTGCTTTCCTTTTCACCTCTATGATCAAAGGCTACTCATTTTCAGCAGTTTGGGTGCCTCAGACCCAGAGATGGGGATTTTTTTAAAAAAGACTTAAATTTTTTAGAGCAGTTTTGGTTTCACAGCAAAATTTGGAGGAAGATACAGAGATTTTCCATGTACCTTCTGCCCCCACACATGCCTAGTCTTTTCCACTATCAACATCACTCACCAGAATGGTATTTTTTTTTTTTTTGCCAACAATGAACCTACATTGACACATCATAATCATCCAAAGACCATAGTATACCTGAATTTAATCTTAGTGCTGTACATTCGGTCGGTTTGGACCAATGTATTATGACATATATTCATCAGTACAGTAACATACAGAGTGTTTTCACTCCCCTAGAAACGTGTCGTATTCTACCTGTTCTTCTTTCCTCCCCCTGCCCCTGCAACCATGGACCCTTTACTGTCTCCACAGTTCTGCCTTTGCCAGAGAGTCCTGTCGCTGGAATCACACAGAACGCTGTCCTCTCAGACTGGCTCTGTCACTCAGTGATCCACACTCACGGTCCCTCCATGTCTTCTCATGGCTTTGAGTTTTAAGAGTTCTTTGTATATTTTGGATAATATTCCTTTATCAGATGTGTCTTTTGCAAATATTTTCTCTCAGTCTGTAGCTTGACTTCTTAGTTTCCTGACATGGTCTTTCACAGAAGTTTTTAATTTTAATGAAGTCCAGCTTATCAATTATTTTTTTCACAGCTTTGGTGTTGTGTCTACAACAGGCATCACCGTATGGGTCATAGATGTTCTCCCAGTTATTCCCTGGGAGCTTTATAGTTTTGCATTTTACATTTGGGTCTGTGATTCACTTTGAGGTAATTTTTATGAAGCATGTAAGATTTGTATCCAGATTCATTTTTGTGTGTGTGGACGTCCAGTTGTTCTAGTGCCACTTGTTGAAGAGACTCTCTTTGCTCCCTTGTGTTGCCTTTGTTTCTTTGCCAAGGATCCGTTAACTATATTTGTGTGGGTCTATTACTGAGCTCTGTTCTGTTCCATTGATCTATTTGTCTTTTCTGTCACCAATACCACACTGTTTTGATCACTGTAGCTTTATGGTGAGTCTTGAAGTCAGGTAGTGTTGGTCCTATAACTTTGTTCTTTTTCAGTGCTGTGTTGGCTATTTTGGGCTTTTTGCCTCTCCATATAACCTTAGAGTCAGTTTGCTAATATCCACAAAATAACTTGCTGGGATTTTGATTGGGATTGCATTGCATCTACAGATCAAGTTGGGAAGAGCTGACATCTTGACAATGTTGAGTCTTCCTATCCATGAAAGTAGAATCAATCTATCTATCTTTCTTTTCTTTTTTTTTTTAAGATTTATTTATTTATTTGAGAGAGAGAGAGAATGGAGGGGCAGAGGGAGAGGGAGAGAGAAACTCCAGTAGACTCCTCACTGAGCTCAGAGCCTGATGCAGGGCTGGATCTCATGACCCTGAGATCATGACCTGAGCTGAACCCAAGAGTTGAACGTTGAACCAACTGTGCCACCCAGGAGCCCCAGTCTATCTATCTTTCTCCCTTCCCTTCCCTCCCCTCCCCTCCCCTTCCTTTCTTTTTTCTCCTTTCTTGTCTTTCTTTCTGTCTTCCATTTATTTAGTTCTTTGGTTCATCAGAGTTGTGTAGTTTTTTTCATACAGATCTTATACGTATCTTGTTAGATATATACCTGAGTATTTAATTTTTAGGGCTTGCTAATGTGAATGGTATTGCATTTTTAATCTCAAATTCTACTTGTACATTGTTGGTATATAGGAAAGCAGTTGACTTTTGTATGGTTACTGGTATCCTGAAAACTTGTTATAATCTTATTAGTTCTAGGAGTTTTTTTTGGTTGATTCTTTTAGATTTTCTACATAGATGATTATGTCATCTGTGGACAAAGACAGTTTTATTTCTTCCTTCCCAATCTGTATACATTTTTTAAAAAAAGATTTATTTATTTGAGGGAGAGAGTGCATGCACGTATGTGTGTGAGCAGGGGGAGGGGCAGAGGGAG